CTGTTATATGCGGATCTGTCTCGAATGACGTGATTATAAACACTTAATAGTGTATTAGTTAACACTGAATTAAGTCATCGTTTAAACAGAAGAATACATTTAAATATAATAATTGTTGGTGTTCTCTTTAGAAACTTACTTTTATTACAGAATCAATACTTTTATGCTTAGATTAATCATATTTACCTAAAGCAGTTATAAAAATTATTAGATAATTGGAAACTAAGCTAATCTAAAATGTAGAAAGTGTTCAAAGTTCAAACACAGTTTAGTTTGTTTTATTATCAAAATACTTCAATGCTTATAAGGAACATTATAAATTCGCATTTTGTTACATTATTTGACATATATTTAAATTAAAATTGTTAATTATACGAATCATAGTTTTCCTGAGTGTTAGTAAAGAAATAATAAGTAAAAAGTTTTTTTACCAAAACAGTAATCATTGTAATGTTTGTTTTTAAATTTATCGATGTTACGCTAAAAGTATGAAATTTCTCTTCCCTTATCTATCTGTTTATATGTATACAATATATCCTTCTTATCAGTAACGCAGTAACAGTATGATGCACACTAATTCTTTAATGAAACCCTGATAGTTGTTTAGATTAGATACAATCGTTATCATTAATGATTAAAATTGAAGGAAATTGATAAATTTTCATCTTTAAATTATTTTTTTTCAATGTTGACGCAGTTAGGGGTGCTACTTTATATATTTTTATTTACAACCAAACAAACTACGGCAAATATTACAACTCTAATAATACTGCAACCGCAAAGGTTCACGGAAATAAGTTTTTTAAGTGAAATTCAATACTACCCCAAAAGAAACCATAAAATATTACGTACACGGAGAAATAATCAATTGATATTTTAAAAGACTTCTTGTATTTGGTTGAAAGTCAATACACATTTTTTAACATTAAATTACTAAATCTATNCAAAAATATAACATTAAAAATGTGAAGCGCCTGTTTGAGATAATTGACGGTGCAGCATCCCTCGTCTCGTCCAATTAATTTGTCCATCTTCAGGTCACCATAACTTCATTGTTGGTCGAAAATTAAAGAATCACTGCCGAAAGAAACAGAACGTTTTCAGTTCAAACCAACGTCGTCGATGACGATTCTAATAGTTTATTGTTGGATAAATATTGACTCATGGTATCGTAACATCATGAATAACCAGCCCACCGCGTCCTACGAATCACCATCAGAAACTAAATGAAGAATTTTTGTTTTCGACAATTCGTCGTGCGGCCCACAAAACGACGACAAACAAGAAAAAAAAAACGAAAAGACTTTCAAGTCTCAATCGCTCAAACTGACGCAACACGTAAAAATAAAACTACTATGTGTAATAGGACGCGAATGAATACTTTGTACAGACGTTATTCTATCGCACTTTTCCTTCATTGTGTAAATATGTAAGTTGAAGGTCTGCTTTATGTGCAAATTCCAAACCATTTATACAGTTTGAATTACTTCATATCGTACTACACGTACAACATACAAAGCGATTCTAATTACGCTTTTAAAAGTACAACAAGCCACATACACATGGTTACATGCATATATCACATGCGTTTATTTACAGTGTCCTAATTTTAGTTAGGCAATCGTATTTAACACCGCAGCAAGTTGAAGACGTTTAAACATTTTACAAAATTAATTTTAAGTTACTTTTGTTAACGCGAATATGTTTTGAAAACGAAAGCATGATAAGCGCTAATAATTGTTTAATGAAATTCAGCCAAACATACATAAAGTTAGCACATTTACAAACTATAAACATACATTTAGGTAATAACATTAAACGGTATTTACTGCATTAATAATAATAAAGATGATCTCATAAAATTCATTTTATTGATTTGAGCAAGGAATGTTTAACTTTCTGGTTCAAATATCCCATTACATTTGCTAGTAATTGTACATTGCTTTAACATTAATGTCGAAAAAATCAACATCTAAGTAATAAGAATTCATTTCCGAAATAAAATAATGAATGCTTTCTTGAAAATATAAAGTAACTAACTGATAAAAAGATAATAACCCAAAACTTACTTAATAAATCTTCATGTTTTATAGTTCTTATTTTTTATATCTATGCATCATCATTTTTATGATGCTAAAAATTGGTTAAATGATTGAAATAACGGGTTATTCTATCCAAAAAAAAATATTTTCGTGATGTTTAACCGTCTATTACTGCGAAAGAGACATTGTTTTGGCAATATTTCAAGCAAATAAATTTATAACCGCGAAATCCACTTAAATATTTATTGCTCTGTAAATGGGACTACAATAATTAATACGTCATTAAAACAATAAATAATATACACTACTATAAAAAGTTTTTTAGATGTTAAGATTACGTATTTTTAATCTTATAATGTTTCCAAAATAAATTTTAGCAGCCTTTCTGTATTTTTATTTTTTAGTTAACAAGCTTTACTTCAACTAATTAAATCAATTGTAAATCCAACAGTACTAAACTATCTTCAATATAAATAAACTATCAACCTGGATACCAAATAAAAACCTGTTTTATTTCTTTCATCCCATATTTGTAAGTAAAAGTAACTGTGAAGTAACTACCAGATGTTGATAAGTTACTATAATATTTAACGTTTTCTTTCTGTTAGAAGATTAAATTCCAACCTACACCCTAATAAAACGAAATATTATTTATAACTTGTATATCTTATCCTTTTCAAGTAAAACTAGTTGGCAAAATACCTAATATCTAGTTGATACCCCTGTCAAAACTAAATTAAAGAAGAGTTTGAATGAAATATTACTTGCATAAGCATCCGTATTATAATTACTATCAAATACAAACCCTAAGGGTCAATAATCTTTTAGTTCTTATTCAATGAAATAGTGTAGAATAACGTAAAGCTATGATCATTCTGATTGGCTATTGTCACGTGCTCTGAAGTCAACAGCCAATCATAATCTTTTATGACAAACCACTGAATAAAACATCTGTTAGTGTAACTATCAATGACTATTAATCAGTATTGTTAGGGATGTCGCGGGGTAGAAAGTCCTTTTATGTTCTTTTATCGGTTTTATATGCATTGTACTTAGACTAATGACATAATTTGTGAATGTGTTTGTGTTTGTATTATGACCAAAATTAGCATGGGTATGTTTATTCTAAATATTATATGTAAAATATGCATAACCTATAAATAAATTCAAAAATATAAACAAAAAGTTTCGGTCGCCACACTACTAATTATGCTAATTAAATGGTTAAATTCGAAAACAACTGTTTGAAGTTTATTAATAAGTAAAATTCTATGTAAAGTTATTTATTATTTATCAAGTTAATTGATCAATTATTATATTTTCTCATGGCTCATAATGAAGTAATATACGTCTGTTAGAATAGAACATAACACATAT